TCACATATCTTATCAATGATTGAATAGAATATTTTTCCTTGCCATTTTAAATGCTTTAAAATACTTTAAAAATATTTTTTAGTAATGAGATATATATATGCACTAAACAAGGAAGCATTTCAAATCCCATGATAGTTCTATTTACATCAGTTCTCGGCACTGTAGTAGATGTACAACAATGACAGGAAGTTCTCTTGGTAAGAGTATTCTCTCTCTCTCATCAGAAAACATCGAAGGAAAAAGGATGATATTGAAATTCGTTTGTGCACATACTACGCATTTATCACGTAATGGGACCAAATTTAACTCAGTACAGAGTGATTATCGTACTGTACACGTGATAGCGGAGAACTACTTCATAACTGGGGAAAACCAAAGTCATATACTATATAAAGTTGTTAGTTGACCTTTAAAATCTAAACATGTACATTCAGTCTGGTTTATAAATCATTCAAAATATGAAAAAATGACGCACAGATTATGTGGTTTCCTTATGGAACGCCAACACTGCTTATAGCATACAACTATGCATTTATTATGTCAATTTATCATTACGTGATGTGAACATATCTTTACGTTATGTCAATTTTTTATGAGATTATGTAAAGATCTTTACATTATGTCAATGCTGCATTACATGAAGTAAATACATCCTTTCATTATGTCAGCACTTCATAACTTGAAGTCGAAAATTCATTATGTGAAGTGATAATGTGTTTACATTGTGTTAAAACTTTATTACGTGAAATGAATGTTTCTTTACATCTTTTCATTTCTTTAATATGTGGTTCTAGTGTTACCTTTTTTTTTCTATCGATCTATCTTCTGATGTAAATTTCAGCTAAAATATAAACAAATAATAAATACTTTTTAATATTTTATATCCGAATAGTGACCTTGTAATTGTATGTTAGACGCTTAATAAAATTTAATTGTGTCCTTTTATTGTATTTTTATTTTTTCCTGCATAAAGAAATAATGATAACAAAGTGTTTTTAAGTGATGTTTACTTACAATGATGTTATTTTAATTGTTCCTTTTGATACATTGAAAAGACCCAGTCGTTGGTTTCTGGAAAGTCTATAACTTTGAATTCAAAACGTAAGATTTTAATATTTTCTTTCTTCAGAAAGAGTTTTGTAAATTGCTTTCAATTGTTATAATACACTAATTTCTCGTTACTTATCACTGACAATATATTATACAACTTGTGTTTGATAAATTTGCAAATTATTCTTTACAGTTATATTTGCCTGAGTGAGGTAGCGGAATTCCTCAACACGGAAGATTTAGTATGCAGAAGTACGCTAGGAAAAGTAAAAGAGTGGTTAACAAGTAATTATTACTTTTTTAAAAATAAAATGTACCTAGTATTATTAAATCTTTTTATTTATTATTATTCATTCGTAATTCGTAAATTCCAAAAATTTGTTTACATGTTAAAGTTCCTGATATAAACTTCATACTTAATTTTATCTAATAGGTATGGGTTGACTGAGTTTAAACAGATTTCAAGGATATACTAGTATCTCTTCAAAGGGTTTTTTTAATGAAAAGAAACATGTGGAGATAACAAACAGTATTCAAGATCTAAATTTTCCATAAAGAATACAGAACAGGAACAGAGAAAACACGGAACTCCAAAACATCAGAGGTGGAATCAGATGCAATTGAGGAGGGTAGATCATATATACTAGATCCCCTGCTGACTGGTCACACCCGCCATGTGATCATTGTCATGGTCGGGATATCACGGAAAAATCAGTCACCAATTAGTTTATTTGAAATGGACTAACAATTAGTAAAAAAACGTCAATCAGCATTTCAATCAATGATAAATTGTGAAATGAAAGTGCGATATTTAAGTAGACACCCATTTTTATATTATTTGATCGATATTTTGGTAAATATAGAGAAAACATATGATATGATTTCCTGAAATATCTCCCGCATGTAAACATAACACTACGCTTCTCAGATTAGTTGGGTAGATTATGTTCCAATATACGAATATCATAATTGATTTACTCCCTTGATATACATTTATTGTGGACCTAACGAAGGTGTCCAAATTATTCGAGAAAGTATTTTTCATCTCAGGAGTTTTTTCCCATTTTGTTAGACTTTTGTTTTTTTTCTATTATAATAAAAACAGGGTTCCGTGTGTATTTATTGATATATAGGTCTCAAGGGGGGTTAGTAGTCAACTGTTAAATTTACTCAACCTAGGCACCTAATCCCATGTTTGGATTTTCAATTGGTTCGTATGTATGTACTGTTTACAGATTTTTATTTACTAAAATTCAATTGAGTGTATTTTATTTTATTTTTTAAGGGGGTGTAGTGGGAGGGGGGAGGTCATTGTTCGTTAACATTGTTATCTGAGACATACGGCGTCTTTTTTTCATTGTAAAAGATAAATAGGCCTTAAAGATTGTATCTTAATACCTGAAAAGATGCCTGGCTTTTAAACTTAAAAGATCTTATTTAAATTTATTGGTAATGGTTTATAGCTATAGATATGCATTGAAAATTTTATCCAGCAAATGTCATTTTTACCATTTTAGATAAATCGAACAATGTAGTATGTGGTTCGAATGCAGTTTCTGAAATTTCTTTTATATACGATGAGACCGGAAAGGATTTTCAAAATTTTTCTTTTCATACAGCAAAACTACAAATTTCAAACGAGGGTAAATTCAAGTCTTTTACAACTTGGAAACACACTGCTTGTACTAATGCTCAGGATCGTATATTTGAAACATTTTTCATAAATTTGAACTGGCAGATCCATGGTAAGAACATTTTACCATTTTATCAGGTGAAAAACCTGATTTGTATCCCCCATCAATTTTTGTTTTAGTTCAGAAAGATCCCATAATGATATTTGCGTTTTAGTTTCCAAGTATTTTTCGGTAATGACAGATAAGATTTTGCAAAATATAAGAAAACGATTCCAGTGATAAATCCAAATGTTACGAATTAATTGTAAAATTAACATGTTGATTTTTCTGTTCCTCTGGAAGAACTTGCCCTTAATTTCCTGAGCGATTTTGAATCATGCTCTATTATAATTATATGCTCTTATATATACTTTTTCGATAACTCCATCGATCAGTACATGTACAATATACATGTATATATTAATCAAAAACATACTTTAGACAATGTCAACACTAGATCAATGTTTTACCATTAAAAAAACGTTTTATGTTTTCAGTAGAAATAAAGGATAAGATAATGTAAGGTTCAAATAGAATAATACAATATTTATTATATTAAATTCATCTAATATGAAGGTGTCAATCCAAGGATTAAACTTTGTTTTGAGTTCTATTGATTGAACAATTCATTGAATCTGTTGAATGAATTCTTCTTCAATCACAATTTTTTCGTTTTCTTTTTCACGAAACTAAATATTATCTTCAAGTAAAATAATTTGGAAAAAATTATTTAAATATCCAATTTTAGATCATGATTTTACAACTTTTTAATAAAAAAACCAAATATTCTTTTTTGAAATTCATCCCCTTTCGTTTACAAATTTTCTCTGCAGTTGCTGTAACATATAGTTTTAGAATATGAAAATATTTACTCATAGATTATTTTTGTGCACTATTTCTTCTATTCTGGATTCTGAATCTTCTTTTATTTAATTCCTTAAAATCCCAAAACTACAGATATACATACATGAACTATTAAATGCATGTACAGATTGGCTAGTCATAGTCCTTTAACTAATCTCTAAACATGTATTTCGATATTTTAGGACTTAGTATCTTTGGAGCTTAGTATTGTCTAAAATCGCCAATCCTTCTTGTCATATTTGTATTTTTTTTCTTTTCTAAGGAATATATTCAAATATGGGCATGTGTAACTTTGCACATATTTGCTTTATTTTCTTGGGATTTTATAATAGTAAATGTCCATTTACATTCAAAAAATGTTTTATATTTACCAAAATGGAGCAAAGTAGGCTCGTGGATAGAGAAAATAAATTACTTTGAGAAAAGTTGATGACGATAGTATAATGCTCAACATTGCTCAATCACACTGGTTAGATCTTATTTTGAAGACCTTTGTCGTATATCGTACAGTAATAATGAAAATGAATGAAAACTAATGCTTTTTTTAAGAAGAAGTAAGTAAATCGATGTCTACATCATCCCCAATCTTGGCGTTGGGTGGGGATGAGAAGAAAAATAGGAGATATGGTATTTTCTTTGACAATTTTGTTTTTAATATTTATTATACTTATGAAAGAAATATTTTTTTATACACATTTAAGGCAGTTGTAAAAATAACAAAGACTGCTTCAAATCATACACTGTGCTCATTATACATGTACAAAACAGACAAAGTTCGAGTTGATGGCACCTGAAAAGAAGGTAAAGAAAATAGGTTTTATTATTGCTAGCTTTTTTTACTGCTTTTAAAATAAAATTTTCAAAATGATCAAATGAAAGTTCTATCCAATAGCGATTTTTAATGGGCTTTCAAATGGGAAACAATATCTTACCACAAAAAAAAAATTACTAAAAAAGAAACATTTTTTAAAAAGTATGCTTATTTCGATTCTTCGATTTGTCTTTTGTATCATTTCAAAAGTTGATTTAAAACTTGGAGAATCTTGTAACGAAGATATTCAATTCATAGAACTGGTTACAACAGACAATGTGACAGAACATTTTCTAATTGTTCGTGTATATATGGATTTACAGAAAGTGATGGTCATTGCTTGAATAGTAAGTTGAAAGAATTAGTTTTTTGTTTCTTTTTTGTTTCTTTTTTTATTTTGAATTTATTTATTTAAAAAATCATCCCCTATTTTAAAAAAAAAGCCTTTATAAATTCCTTTATAAAGAAATATTGTATATTTTCTCGAAAAATATTGAGATATTATGTTTTTAATTTAAAATAAACGTTAATAAGCTTGTGCAATGCAACATTTTCATGTTATAAAAATTTATATATGCTAAAAGACGCAATCAGTATTTCAAATGGTTATTTTGGGTGGATTAAAAGTAAATGACACCTGTATATATGACGAGCAATGCAATGGAACATCCAACAGTACTATCTGTAGAGAACACGTGTGTGTCTGTATGAAAGATTATATTAATAAAGATGGAAAATGCCAGCCATGTAAGTCAATGAAGAAAATACTATGACCATTTCATTCACAAGGATATGCATGTACAATATGATTTGTGGAAACGCACTTTGAAATATATAGCACTTTGAATAAAAAACATGTCAAAGTGCGTTTAAATTGAATTAAAAAATCAATGCACTTTAAAAGAAAACTTAAAAGTGCGTAAAATTGCTCACCGAATCAGCGCACTTAATCTTTTTTTAAATGCATTAAGATTTTTACTATAGAGACAATTCACGCAATTTGAAAAAAAATGTACTAAACAAAAATTCTGGACTTAAAGTTTAGTAAATGAGAGCATTAACTTATATATTACATCTTTCAAAAAACTTTTGAATTGATTTTGCCTTATCGAGAATGAAGAGAAGACGGGTAGAAGGTATCTTTGACAAACCCTTTATTTTTTCTATACGCAAGCGTCGGTAGCAAATTGAAAGTGGATGGGTTGGTGGGTGGGTGTGGGGAACTTAACCAGAATAAAGATAATTCCCATTTTTCAATGCCTTTATTGTGTATCTCTTTGCAAAAAAGTTTTGGGGTTAAGCAGCCTTCTAGATAACTACTCTCCGGTTCCAATGTCTAAGCTACATCCAAATATAGGCATTTACATAACTGGTACCTGTATCACGTTGAAATTCTTTTTACACAAAATACATAAAAAAAAGATTTTAAATACAGTAAAAGATTTGAGAGAGGAAGAATTTTCAAAGGATGGAAGAAATCAAAATAACTCCTTTTCAAGAAAAAAAAGTTATGCTTTAAGTAGATCACTTGTAGTGCTCCCCTACATTTTTCAATTTATTACACCTAACACAAAAATGAAAGCAAAAGAAATTATAATTTTAAATAATCATTTTCCCATTATCCTTAAAAGGCCTATTTTCCTTTTATAACATTTACGAAAATCTACATGTAACATATTTAAAACGTTTATTTCTCAGATCCTAAATTGATCTTATCACTGAATACACCAGTTTCAAATATGTATCATGCAAGTACCTAAATTTTACAAATTTATTGACTAAGCCATACACTTTATTTTTCATGAAAGTGCATTAATATGGTCAATATTAACGCACTTTGAAAATAATTTTATTTTTCAAATTGCGTTGACTTAGTCCCAAATTTTACTCATTATGCGTTGTTTTTTAAATGCAATGTAACAATGGTTTCTATCCTATTAGTTTACAATGAACAACTATATTTCATTTCAGAGAAATTACTTTTATCTCGATTTCAATAAAATTTTATATTCTGGAGTGTAAATGAAAATCCCTTTTTATTCCTACTATGAAAAGTCCTATGACAGGTCTTTTTCTTGGTTTGTTTTATATTTAAATTAAAGTATTTGTCCGCTAGAAATTTGTTAAATTTGTAAACGTATAAAAAAAATTAGAAAATTTGTGAATGATACATTATATATTTATTTTAAACTTGATAAATTGCAACTTGTAAATGATACAACCTTTAATTTTAATTTAATCATTAGTTTTTGCAGAAATTACAACGACTGACAGGTCCCAAGACAGGTGGTCCGTAACTACAGCTGCCCTTTTGAACCTCGAGAAAAATATTTACAATCAGAGTATTGATTTTTTATTAACTACATACAAGAAAATTTTTCGTTATTTCATTATTGATGAAATTCTAAATAAATTTAATTTATATCAGTTACATCTAAACACCAGAAATTAATAACGCATGAAAAGTTAATTATTAATTGTTCATTATATTATCAACTTTTCTCATTGAATAAGACAAAAACGAAAAATTTATATTATGACCTAACTTTGAAAAAAGTTCGATTAAGGTGTTTCCTTCCTCACACCTTTATAGGTTAAAAGTGCAAAAACTGCATTTATTTTCATCTAATATACTTTAAGCTTTCCAAGTATTGCAAAAAATGTAAAGGTCACCATATTTTTTAAGATGCGAAACACATATAATTAATTAGAAGTGTTTGTCAGTTTTGTAAACAGTATTATGAACAATATGTAAAAACTGGTTAAAATGCATAATTCTGATGCTGAGTGTTCCTAATTACTTCCTACTTAAAGGATACTTTTGATTTGTGAATATCAGGGAAACCATTTTACAATAAAGAAAATGCCTGAATGAAGAGATCTTGGAAGGAGTTATTGCCCTTTTCAACATTTTTTGAAAATTGAATAATTGATTAAATACATAAAATATGCATTTTTTGAATTCTTTAACTTAACAATATTTATCATAATTACACCTATTGTAATGCATTTTTCCAAGAGATATGATATCGTTCTATTAGGTATGAATTTTAACTAATTACAGTTTTTGCAAAAACATATGACATCATAGGAAGGTGGAATTACCTTAAATTCGAATTTTGATTTCGTTTTCAATGTACGAATACTCCTATTTATGTTTTTCCTACCTTAAGCAATCTTGAAATATAACACAAGACATCTGGTTGTAGCAGCAAGTGCGGGATTTACTTTGGGCATACTTGGATGTTTAAGTGCAACATTAATCATCAATAAATGCAACAGAAAATGTAAACATAAAAGGTATAATTTGATTTTTTTTTATTAAAATTCCAATGAAGAAAGGATATGGATATTAACGAACAGTATCCAATATCAAAGTCCATAAAACAATACATAATAGGAACAAAGCAAGTATGGACCTCAGAGGTGGTATCATGTGCCATGGAGGCGTGAGCATCCCCTGCTGACCGGTCACACCCGCCCTGTGCTCCTTTTCATGATCAGGTAAACCGTCGTCAATTCAGTGTATAAATAATGGACTAACAATTAGTATGAAAAACGTCAGTCAGCATTTGATTCAATGATAAATTGTATTTGCTGACAAGGTCAATGTATCGACTATAAAACTTACGAAATGACTTCAAACGAGACTGTTGATATTTTTGTTTCATCAACTTTATTATCAATGATTTACATCGTTTAAGAAATCGTTCATACGTAGAGCATGATCTTGCGTATCGGATCAACTGAGATATATATACTCCGTATGCAGGTGATGAAGGTTTATAGGTGCATAAATAAGGGAAGTTGACGATAGAAAAGTTAAAGTCATCAAGTTATATCTTATAGCTTTGTTGTTAGATAACCAATAACGAATTTTTCAAGTAAAATATCCAAATATGAAACAAATCAGTCAGATTCTGCGGTATCTTTTATCTCAAGTTCACCAGGGTATATTGTATCGACGTGTGAATGGAAATTACCATTATTAATTGATAATACGTTATCTATATATCTAAATGTCGAGTTGAAGGCCACAGCAAGTGCTTTCTTCTTTTCATGCATACTATTTTGCAAAAATTGCTTCATATGAATATAAAAATAGGTCTGCTTATGACTGAGCGTAATTGGTGCCAATTGGAATTCCAATAGATTGTTGGAATACCTGGTCTCCAAAAATCACATAGATATTGTCAATCAGATACTGATGCATCTCTTTGATGTCAACTTCAGAGTACTTGTGTGAGGAATCAGAATGTGTTGTAACAAAGTAATTTTGCAAATGACCAATGACCAGGTAAGTAAATGTATGAGTTCCATTTTGTATTGAAAAAAAAATTGCTGTCAATGATATCAAAAAGCCTAGACTTTTATTTATCTTTGGGAATGGTTGTGTATACAGTTGAAAAGTCGTAATTTTTTAAGCTGTTGATTTTGGTAAAATCTTGTGATTTCAAACTATCCTAAAGTTCTTAATAATTTTTGAGTATTCACATCTGTTTCACACCACTTCTTGAATATATTGTTGCATGTATGTCATAGAATCAAAAGAAGCACATTTATTTTTTTTTAATTAAGCTATTTGTGTAATACTCAAAATATACTTGACCAAAATTTCTTAAGTTTTTTAGGAGTCAGGATATATTTTTTTCCATAATTATGTTTCTGTAGAGAAAGTTTCGTGTTAGGGTATAAAATGATTTTTTTATTCATTTGATTTCACAATTGTTTCTTTGTTTTTTGAATCGACAGTTTTCAGTAGACTCAAATTAACAAGAGTTACTTCCCGGTTGCCGCCATTTTGGTGGTCAACCTAGTAATTTTCCCTCTTTGTCTTACCATGTTTCGGCGGAATGAAAGAAGAATATTTGGGGGAAAATGTTTATGGAATAAAAATCCTTGCATATTTTTCAGAAAAACAATGTTTTCTATACCTTAAAGCTTACAAGTACCAGTGTAAAAAATTAAAGTTGGTTGTATAATGAAAGAATCTGAGCAAGTTGACCCCCACTATGGCGACCAAAGGGAAATGACTCTTGTTAATTTGGGTCTTCTTAAAACTATCTATTGTTCGTACATTTTCTGAACGATTTTGTTCATAAGTTTTTTTTTTAATTTCAGGTGTAAAAAGTTACCGATTGTTAATAATGTGAGCTATGAAAATGATAAAAATTCTTCTCACCACATGGAAGCAGAAGCCTCATTTTCAAGGGTAAAATCTGTGTGTTTGGGTGTACATTGTATTTGATATATGCATATAAAATAAATCTAGTCATTATGTTTAAATGTATGTAGATTTTGTCCCATTTTTGTGAAAGAAACTATCGTGTACATGTACATGTAACTTTGCAAAAAAAAAAAAAAAAAAGAAAAAGAAAAAGCGTGTCTTGCACCAGTTGAAACAAAACACTTTTGAATAGATTTTATGTAAACATCTGTCTTTTTATGTATACTGTAGTTCGAAAACGCGCTGCTTGAAAGTAAACTTTAACTTTAATAGGAGTTATTTGGGAAAAAGGGGAAAAGTTTGTCTTTATCTTCAGTAAACTGTTGTTTACGTCTATACTATGTTTTTTGAAGGAACAAGTCATATACACACCAGAAAACACAAATGTTGGAGGGGCCGAACGTGGAGATTCTGATATATACAACCATCTACATGAGAAGACGGACAGGCCAGACATGAATGATTATGACCATGTACAAAATATGAGAGGTGTATTGATAGCTGAACTTTGAAAACCCAGTCCACAAAACAGGAAAAAAAAGAGAAACAAACAGAAATGTTTATGACTCTAAATGTGTTTGTGATATTAATGAGATAAAATTAAACTATTGTAATATTCGATGGCTTGACAATTCATGAATGATGATTAATATATGCAGCCTTAAACAAAGGAAATGTCTACTAATAAAAGAATATACAGCATGATAATAAGAGGACTTTGGAAAAATATTATTGGTGATTCTTACCCTATAGACCATTGATTCATTTTATATTCCCATCGAAACCAGATGTTTATGATTTCAAATTGAAATTTGAATCAAAACCTTACCATGGTTCGATGTTTTCCAGAAAGAAGCCAAAAATAGGACAGTTAATCGTGATTTATACATAGGGCACATTCGTTACAGCAAAGTATAAAAACAGAAAAATAACAATTACTAATCGAAAGATATTTTCCAATAACGTGTGTGCCAATATTGAAAAAAAGAAAACAAGAGGCCCATGGGCCATATCGCTCACCTGAGTAACTTTGGTAATGCAGTTCTTTACCAGATTTCCCCTCTTCCTCTATCAATGTAGCTCCCTCCACCCCTAATACTCCCGGTCTTAATTTTAATAATTTAGAATATACACTACCGCAGAATGCTTCCACCTAGTTTCAGCTTTCCTGGCCCATGGGTTCTTGAGAAGAAGGTTTTTCCTATATATTTCTATATAAAACTTTGATGCCCTATTGTGGCCCCGCCCTAATCCCCGGGGGTCATGATTTGAACAATTTAAAATCTAAACTACCCCAGGATGCTTCCATATAATTTATGTGTCAGCTTTTCTGGATCAGTGGTTTTTGAGAAGATTTTTGAAGATGTTTCCTATATATTTCTAATATAATTCTATGTAAATCTTGGATTCCCTATTTTGACCCTGCCCTACCCCCGGGGTTCATGATTTCAACAATTTAGAATCTACATTACCCACCGGATGCTTTCACATACGTTTCAGCTTTCCTGACCCGATGGTTCTTGAGAAGAAGATTTTTAATGACCACATTACTTTTGTCGTTCCTTAATTTTCTCCCCTTAGAAGGGAAGTTTGCCCTTAATTTTAAGAATTTAATATAAACTTCCCATTAACAAAAGATTTTTTTTACCAAGTTTGGTTAAAATAGGGGCAGTGGTTCTTGAGAAGAAGTTAAAAATATAAAAAAAAAAGTTTAAAGACGGACTGACGGACAGCTAGACGGACGGACGGACAACGGACAACGGGTGCTAAGAAAAGCTCACTTCAACTTTCAGCTCAGGTGAACTATAAATCATTGCCTGAGAAAGAGCTATAACCACAAACCATCAAACATTTTCATCATTCATTTTGTTTTACACAAATGAAAATATCGATCCAAAAGGGATATATATATACTGAAAGGAAAAAGAAACGCATAATAGCATAATAGCGAAATATATTTAACTATATGGCCGAAAATTATGAAAATTGGTCAAATGTGTATTTTGATTACTGTGCACTAAAATTGCTGGTCAAAATTACTCAACCATGAAATGTATGGCGTCACGTAGGGGAAATGATAACAAGCCAAAAACACGTGCATGTTGATGATGACAATTTTATGATCACATTCTGTGGTGCTAATCGATGCATTGGAGTTATAGACATCGTTTTCCGCATTTGCAATCAGTATTAATTTCGTGCAATCATGGTATGGCTGACGGAAGTTAGACTGGTTCCAGTAATTAAATTGCGTAAGTGAATAAAAAGGCAACAAGATGTTGCTGTGCAGTTTGTTTTAAACTTTTCAACAAAAAAAGGTTTTTCAGTTGTCAGAGAGTAAATTAAAAGGTTTCCAACCAACCACGGCGGTGACGTTGACGCGTAACAGCGTCACATCAAGACAGGGCTTTTCATCATGTCACCTCGGTTGTTGTCAAGGTTTTATCACTGAAACCGATATTTATACAGCAAACTATCATACCAATATTTTCACCCTGAAATTGACAGAAATTCTCTGCTCTAATTTGCTCCGCGAGTTTGGCGACTTTTACGTCGATTTTACTCTCACGCGCGCACGTACGCGTCGTGTGCGTAATGTTTTTAGCATGTTTACACTGGGAAAATGTAGCCAGTGTTTGTCGAGTCTTTCTCACAAACATTCACGTGTACCAAACCAGCTGGATTCTGTAAATTCTATCCTAAATTGAAAATTCGTGGCACTCATTTGGCGGGGGGATTTGTTTGCTTTGGAATAATACAGCTTCTATCAACCATCAAGACTATCGTCGGAAGAGTTGAATAATAATCAAATGAGAAAGATAAATGCTCTGCTGAACTCAATGCACAGGAAAATCAAGGCTGTTACCAATGTGCAAGGGAAATGATGAGAATTTTTATTTTAATTTTGGGGGGTATCGACTAACTCAGGAATTATCAGTCAAAGTCACACAAGATTTTGGCAACTTGTAGATTAAAGATGAATTAAAATGTTTGATAACAATACTGGAAAACATTTTCGAAATAATAGTTTTAATTTAATTTAAAAGTAAAATATGCGTTTCTTTTTCCTTTCAGTATATTCAAGAAGTGGTGTAAATCAGATGCAGATACTTTTAAATTCTAAGGAACTTTTGGAAATTTTGTAATCACAAGATTTCACCAAAATCAACAGCTTAAAATCTTGCAATTTTTCAACTTTATACACAACCATTCCGCACGATAAATTAAAGTCCAGGCTTTCTGATATCATTGACAGCTGCTTTTTCAATAAAAATGGAACTCTTTTACTTACCTGTTAGTGGTCATTTACATTTTGTTCAAAAACATTCTGATTGCACACACAAATACTCTGAAGTTGACATCAAAAAGATGCTTGAGTTTCTGATTGAAAATACCTCGGTCATTTTTGGAGACCAGGTCTTCCAATTTCAATCTATTGGAATTCCCATGGGTACCAATTGCGCTCCGTCATTAGCAGACTTATTTTTGTATTCATATGGGGAAAAGTTTTTGAAAGGAAGAAAACACTTGCTGTTGCCTTCAAATCGACATTTAGATATATCGTAAACGTATTGTCAATTAACAATGGTAATTTCAAATCCTATGTCGATACGATATATTCCTGGTGAGCGTGAGATAAAAGATACTATTTACAGATTCTGTTTCAAATTTGGATAATTTACTTGAAAAAGACGTTAATGGTAATCTAACAACCAAGCTCTATGATGAACATGATGACGCTAACTTTTTTATCGTCAACTTCCCATACTTATGCAGTAATATACCTTCATCACCTGCATACATGTACGGAGTTGATTCGATACGCAAGAGTCTGGTCTACGTATGAACAATATCTAAAATGGGGTAAATTATTGACAAGCAATTTGATGAGATAAGAACATAAGGTAGTCCGATCCTCAGGTTTATCAGTGAAGTAATCAAAAATACTGTCTCATAAAAGTATCTCTAAATCTAAATCTATAAAAGTTATGTAAATTTATCCACAGTTTTTCTTTAAAGTTAAAGATTAAAGTTAATCATATTATATTTAGGGAAAAAAGTCAAATCTCCAATATCTTTGCAGAAAAAGCGAATTGGAATATCAGCCATGCATTTTCTATTTGCAAATTGATTAACAAATACATTTTATGTTTAAAAACTATAGGTATCCATGCATTCAGAAAATTGTCCTGATTTTTATACTTATTTGGTACATTGTGTCTTATATTTCTATCATGTATTCTATAATACATAGTGTAAAGGGCTTTTGCTATCATTGCAAGACACCAAAGATCACTTCTTATTTCATATCATGCTAATAAGCATGATTGGTTTCTAAGGCTGGATTCAAGAAAATCTTATTTCTCTAAAACTGTGTATTATTATTTTTTTTCCTTTTATAGGGTACAAATGTAAACTTTTAGATAAATAAAATGAAAATTGTTGCATGAAAAAATTTCATTTTCAAGCATCATTGAGATGCATTTCGAATTAAATATTAATTTTTGGAGTTATCCTTCCTGGCTGAGGATCGGATATCCTTAAAGTCATAATTTCGTAATTTCTTTGGTCGATACAATGACCTTGTCAGCAAATGCAATTTATTATTGAGTCAAATGCTGACGGACTTTTTTCATACTTATTGTTTGTCCATTATTTTAACTCTAAATTTGTATTTTTCTCTGTATTTTTCAGTTATTTCTCGGTCATGACAAGGAGCACACGGCGGGTATGATCGGTCGCCAGGGGATGCTTAATCCTCCATGGCACCTGATCCCACCTCTGATTTTTTGGAGGTCCGTGTTTGCTCTGCTCCTGCTTTTTATTGTTTGATGCACTTTGATCTTGAACACATGTACCGTGCGTTATCTCCATATGATCCATTGTAGAAAACACTTGTTTTACTCTCCGTATGTATGCATTCGAGATTCACTTTGTTTTCAAAGATCAACCCTAAAACCTTGTTGTGAGGAAAAATTTGCACCTTTATCTAACTGGAATATTCGAATGACATGTAGGAAATATTTCAAGATAGGGAGGACAGGGCACAGCAGAATGCCATCGTTTCAATTAAACATGACCGTCGTGGCCAAACGTTTTTTTCTACAATTTTTTCTATCTTTCAGACATGTAAAACCTGTCGGAGAACCATAACGGCGGATTCTCCCGGACTTTCTCACGGAGAGTACCACTGGCATGCGTGTCCACATTGTTTTAGTTGTCATGGGTGTGGGCGTAACCTAATCAACCAACAGTTCCTCCTTAAAGATGGACAACTCTTTTGTTCTGTGGACTGTAAACAGCTAACAATGACAATTGATTGGTCTCAAAATGGAATTCAAAATTTGCATATTCATTGACATTAACTGGATTACAGAAATATTTTTTGAAGAAAAATAAAACAAACTTCATTCAAAATGTATTTCTAATTGATAAAAAATATTAGATAATTTACGATGTATTGCGCAATTAAAAAAAAAAATAATAAAATGCACATTTTAATGATGTCAGGTTCAGTTTCAAATTATGCCATATACATGTAATTATCAGAAAAAATAGATTAATGTTATTTATTATTTTTTCTTTTTCTAAAGAAGATGCATTGTTTAGCGAGTATCTTCTACTGACCTTTTTTGTTAGGCTAATAATTATATTTTTACATATTTAAAGATAAATGTAGCAGGTCAAGATTCAAAATTTGTTTATCATGATTTTTTTTATAACTTGAAATTGAAAGAGGTAAATTACCTGAAAATATATGCTTTTTTTGTTATTTTACAGAGCGAATAAGAATGTCAAAGTTCAAGGGAGAAGTTGAAACACTCTTAATAGTGTAACGAAGTTTCTCACTCCCCCAAGAAACCTGATTCTTCTTTTGGTGTTCTTCGCTTTTCTTCCAATTTACTTGTTTAAACAGACTTTAGAATTGCCTATGGTTGTTCGTAATTTTTTACATTTCACGCAATGGGTAGACCTTGTATCAGTTTGCAATATTCGCTTGTAAGTTATTTCACTCATAAGAGAGGATAAAAACTCGGTGCTACTCAAGACGATGTTAGCAGGAATAGATTTCTCGAATTTTTTTTGTTTTGGTTTCTATATCAAAGTACTCGGAAGTACAGAGAGCCGGGCTCATTTACAGAGTAGAATGAATTTCTTACATGAATCATACGTTTATATTCTGATGAAAAAATTATATTAAAACTATCAATATAAATGATAAGACACTGACAGTGAGTTTTCGATCCTAATACCACGGTCCGGGTTTGTCGCAATCAGAATTAATCTGGTACCGCAGCTGAATGTAAACAAACAGGCCTGTCTGGTTCCCTGTCCTGCTTTACCTTGTATGTGTAGAGAACTACGATAACACTGATTATCAAAAATTCTTACGCTAATGTACAATGTTCTTTGACTTAAAACTGAAGTTTTCAAAGTCATTACTACCAATGTTTTATAAAGATAAAACTTCGTTTTATAAAAATATTTTTGTTGCTTTATTTAGCGTTTAAATTATCTCAAAGGCGGTTGAGAAGAGGAACTATATTTTTACTCGTAACTTTGAAATGGCGACTATGGGGTCAGCTTCCTGCCTTGAACAGGATCACATAAGCCGGCAATTGCTCTTTGAGCAATAAGCCCGGCTAAAAACTAAGTTTAGCTAAACTACAAATATAAAGAACTAAATATGAATTCATCATATGACGTCACACCAGAATGTTGTGCACTGAAGCGAAACATCTTGATTTTTGCCTGAAAATCTACTAAAGATAGAAAAATAGAAATTATAGCTTAACTTTTTGAAATCACGTCCATGATTTCGAAAAGGGATGTTACTCAAGTGCTCAAATTGAGTTCTTAGAACTTGCGACAAGAAAACAATGATATGATGGTAAAATAGTATTGGATCTTTCTGTATAATGTACAAAACCATTTATCTTTATATAGAAAGGAATTAGGTCATCATGCTGCGATAACGCTGTTCTATTTAACACCAGAGTGTAAATTTGTTTGTTTACCTGTGAATACAATGCAGACGATTTGTGCTTTCGTCGCATTGAAATTACCCTTTTATTTTTTATAAATCTGTTTGTAGCTTATACATGTATAGATTAATCTATTGAATATACTATATATGGCTGAGGGAGGTCCGTGAAACAGCCCCGCTTAGCTCTAGAAACCTACATTCATCAGCTACTTTCTGCAATATACAGTTTAAATTAAAAACGACACATCAATGTGGTCTAAATATGTATTTCATTCTTAAGTCAAATGTTTATTTCACTTGCACAGGTTTGATACGTGTTTCTGATCTGATAATTATTGATGACATTTGTGATTTAGTGGAGAATGATGTCCGCGGCATTTCTTTGATCTCGGCAATAATCGTAGTAGAATAAAGGTTATATTTACCAAACGTGTATGAATATATTAATTCATTGGTGTATAACCATGGTCGGCACACTTTTTATAACTACTTTTAAGATGGGTATCTTTTTTTTAAGTAGAAGGGCTCTAAAACAATTTACCTGTATGCCAAAAATGGTAAGGGACATGAAATTGTTATATGAGGAAATAACGGAAAGTCTAAATCAGAGTTACTCTTTATAGGATTGAAATCCTGTATAAAATGCATTCTTTTAAAAATAATTGAGACTGTAATGAATAATTTGCTAAGTGTGTTTTATTGGCCGTTTTAAATTCTGTATTACATAATTTACAAAATTTATATAAAGAATTTTTTAAGAAGAATAAACAATGACCCCATAAAAAATGCACCAGAAATTCATCTTAATATGAATGGTGTATTGCTTTTATCCACACCTTTCTGCCTAAAGGTAGGGAATGATAGTCAAAAAATGTTTCTATTATGAAGAACTTCATTTTATTTATGATAAATGTTAGCTCAAGCTCGAGAGAGAGAGAGAGAGAGGGAAAGAGAGAGAGAGAGTCTGATCTTAGATATTGATCATCTAAATTGTTCGCTGTGTTAATAAAAAACAAGAGTATCCAATAAATCTACTAATACACAAACTAAGATTCCATGATGGAAAGTGTTTTTATAATAGGAATTTCTACATGTATAAGTTTTTTAGTTTGTATCACTGGAGCACAGGCACTCAATTGTAAGTATATAATGTTAAATGTCTCCTCTTTCAAACAGCAACTTAAAGATTTGCAACGTATGTGCTGATATGTCAATTTGCTTGAAAGATTTTACCTAAAACCGTTATATACGTCAAATTATGACAAAAATATCGGTTAAGGCCAATTAAAAAATATATCATATAATATGCTTATGTATGTTTTAAGTTAAACATTTATTTTTAATATGTTTAATAACAAGAAAAAATTTTCACTGTTAACTGTACATGTAATAAATTAAACAGTATTGTAGACATGGAGTTACTCTTGCAGTCTTTCCTGGTTGTTTTTGGTTCCATTTTTGTAGTTTTCTTGATTATACATGTAATTTTTATTTTTCTGTAGATTCTTTTGAAGAATACCAATGTAAAGGCGACATACGGATTGATGAGAACACAGAAGTGTTTATATCATACAACGGAGGCGTGATAGATTCTTTATGTTACTTCATGAACTTTCTTGGACGAGATTCGAAAAATCTGAAAGTTTACCAGATTTGTATGGAGACCATCAGGTATCACGACCCTGACTGCGCCATTCTAGTAGGATTGACTAGCTCAACAAAGTTTGCCAGGGTAATACCTCAATAATATATATTGTGGTTCATCATTTTTATATTGTATGTTTATACAAATATTTATCGATTATCAATCTGCAATTCTCTATACATGGAAGATTTCGCCCACGTTTTATTTTCGCCAATTTCACCCTATCCTTATTTGGGCGAATTTAAAACGGAACGAATTCAAAGAGTACAGTATAATTACAAAAGTATGACTGGGCGAATTTAAAACGGAGCAAACTTGTCTGCAAGTGTGAAAGGGCGAAAATAACCCTCGATACAATAGACGATTACAGTTTTAAATAGTAAGAAAAAGAAACAATCATTAAAAACTTTTGCGAAAGAACAGCAAGCTAGAATCTTCAGTATGATATTTATGTAAAAGCCTATTAGTATTACATAAAGCAAATTTATGTTTGCTCAAACTCTGATCCAGATTTGGTCACATAACACAATTAAAGTTTTACGCAGGAATTTGTCCAGGAAAACATCTTTAAAATTATTTTCTAAGGCGCAACAATGCCATGGGTACTTATATTTGCATATTTAGGATCATTATATGGAAGCATATCAGGTGATATGGATTTATATTTCCTCATTGATGTAAATTTAGGTTTTGGCCAAGATTTGTTATTAAACTTTTACAAAGGAATACGGTATATAAAGAAAATCATGTTTATATATATTGGCAGTGCCATAGTAACTTAGTAGAGTGATTTGGCCAATTGAACCCGTTGATTTGATTAAAAAGGCATATTTTTTGTTTATTTTCAAATGTTTTATTCTTAAAAGTTTCAACAAAAAAGATGGAATTTTTTTTTATTGAGTTTAATCATCTTTGAAATAATTCAAGGATTTCAATTGTACTCACTCGCCACCTACTGCTGTCTGTTTTGACCACTCTTTGAAAATCCACATTGAACCCATTTCGATGGAAAAGTCTTCAAGAAATTCATCTTTTCTTTTTAAAGTTGTGGCACATTTAACGGCAGATAGTAAGTACAGATGAAAGAATTCGATGCTATTTTTAAGTTTCATACTTTGATTTTTGTAAAGAATTTAATTATTCAGAAGTAAACAAACAGGGAAATAACAAGATCCATTTTTGATGAGACTAATACACGAATAAAAGCTTCGTTTCAAGTCAAACTAATCAAAAATACCTGGTATGTTTAATTCTAAGCATTTCAGGAGAATTCGTAGAAAAACAGAACAAGTCCTACATTAATTTTATACCTTATAAAGCTGAGAGATATTATACCGGTACATAGAAATAAGAGTTGCCTGTAATTGGTTCTACGGTCTTGTGTACCACAGATGTGTTGAGGTACATGTATCTTTAAATAACGATATAAATCAAATAACTTAAAACAATAAAATATACGTATATATATTAAAAACCCTTTGCGTAATTCTTACCGAATGTAAGTTGGCAAATACTTAAGGCATGTGTATGATTTCTTTATTTGATGTTACTATCCTTACCAGATGCAAACCGCCTTATGTTTGATATTTTATTGTTCTTTTATTTACAATTTTCAAATCTTTATGAGTATACGACTTATTTATCAGTCATGTATTCGTGAACAATTAATATTGTGAATTCTCTTTCAGTGAAAAACAATCTTCACTGCTTCCATCAAGTTTCTTGCTGCAAAAATATTTAGTAATGAAGATTTTGAATTTCAGAAATGGAATTAATCTGGACACTTTTAGCAGCAAGTGGTGGAAGTCTGGTACTTATGATAATAATTATTGTAAGTGGTAAACGAATAAAAAGCAGACTGCAAAATACTAAGAAGAAAGAAGTGTACGAAACAGGTATTGTTACTTTTCATGGAAATTTAATTGTACATGTAAATAAAAATAATATAAGTACAAGTATGATGTCAAAAATTATATCAATTGTAAAACTTATATTAAAAAGGATATAAAATAAATATTACAAGCATTTGATATTTTTTTTTAAAAAAAATAGTGTGTTTTATATTTACCACAGATAAGATTGAAAGTAATGAAATGAAAAAAGGATATTTTTATGATCAGTAAATGCTATAGAATCAGGTAAATAAATTATCATAATAGATAAAAGACAGTCACTATAATTTCAGAGTGTGAAATCTACGAAAACTCGAGTTTTAGCCACGAATGACCATAATGAGCATAATTCCCACAGAACCAAAGACATATGCCCCAACTCAAGGAAAAAAAAAACTTCTTCAAAATGTGCATATCTTGTGAATAATCTTGTTGCAAGTCGTAGATACCATTAGGATCACATTTATATAAGCATTTTGATAGAGTGAAAGAAAATTTTAATCTGGATGAGAAGCTACGTTTTTGTAATTAAAACTCCTTTCAGTGCTGATAATACAAAGTTTACATAAGTTTGCATAAAGTCAATATTTAGGATTTTCGCTTTCTTCATTGTGATTTTTCTTTTTTCCTTTATATTTTTCTGAGAGAGATAGTTTTCGAGAGAGAGAGAGAGAGAGAGAGATTTTTTACTTTATTAAAATATTTATAACCAAATTTGACATAAACAAACAAGCATGTATATATCTTTCAAATGTTCTATCTGCATCGTAAGATAACTGTTCTTCATTATTTATTAGATCAATATCTTGATTAAATAATAATACAAAAACAGTATTTGATAATTTCTAAAATATTCTTAAACTTGTTTTAACCTCAATATTTGTTTCTGTTCTATGTTGTTTCTGCTGTCCTTCGTATTAAGGCGAAAACTCTTTGAAGAAAGGTTTTACTTATAGTTGTCTCTTTCACATGACCACAGATACTTTGAAATTGGTGTGTAAATTTGTATGGTCCTATGATATGTAAAAAGTAAAGGTATGTAGATTCCGTTTTAATAGGAATATTGTATCAATATGTGCATACGTATTCAGAAACCAAAACCGAAGTACATGAGAACAGGGCAGGATGTGTACTTGCCAAAACAAGAAGAAATTCACAACTAAAGTGGCTCTACTATTTTTTTCCTAATATTAAGGACTGATTAACAATCTTTGAACATTCTAATGTTCATGTATTTTGCTTTTTGTCACGTCAGGAATATATGCTAATAATTCTGAACATTATCTTTATTCTAACAAAAACATAATACAAAATTGTTAACTAAAGTTAACTATATTTTACAATATTTAACTAAAATTAACTATTATAATAGTAAATATTTTTTGTTTAATTATTTGAATTTAGATAGACATAAAATTTAATTTAAAACTTCTTTTTTTTAAATGACCTATTTCTAGTATAACTATTTACATACCTTAACAAAAAGTTTCTTCATTAATCTATAATTTATTGTATATAATTAAAAGTATCCAAATCTGCAAAAAAAAAATCTAGAGTAACGTTTTATACTAAATTTTTGTTAAAGTTATTCCCGTTATACTGACATTTACATATATAAACTTACGCCCAAACCCCTGCTGATGAGACCGAACAAAACTTTGTCCTTTTTTTTACTTTAATACGAAATAAATCGAACATTCTTCAAGACCATTATAAAGGAAAGAGAGAGTTTTTCATTTATTCTTCAATCTTTTCATATAAACCCTAACTACAAAATAGACATGCATAAGCTGAGACAAAACTTCTCATTACAATAAGCAAAATGATCTTTTGTGATTTTTTTTTCAATTACAGAAACTGAATGATGCCAGAAAATTAGGCAATATTACAAGCTCAGTTGCAATAAACTGAAAACAGATCTTTTTATTTGACAATAAAGGCGATTTTTTGAGGTAAAATGTACAAAAAAAATCTAACGGTCTCTAAAATGATGTTTCATTAGCTACAGCATTTGTAGCAAATTTAAACATAAGACAAGAAAAAAAAAAGTTCATTTACTTTGTAATCAAAATATGTTCAACCATTTCCTCAATAAAGGAGATATTTTCTAGCGTTTCGTGTTTGGAAAGAAGATTAAAGTAACAGTGCATTAAGACAAAGTAAGTACCTCCTTTTTTGACATTATCGTTTTGTTTATCATCTATTTATCTATTTATTATCATATCTATCATTTATAATCATCATAAAAACTTAAGGATGAATTATGAAATGAAAAATATTACTCGTTTTGAAAGAGATAGATTGATTTGCACTCAAATATCTGTAATAAGTTAACTCTGTAAACCGATTTAATAAAAATTTAAGGAAAGATTGGGAAATAAATCTCTCCATGCATCTCTCATGGCCGAGCTTTCTTTTATCTCAAGTATACTACTTGTGGATCTTTGTTACGCACTGACCAATATCACAGGTGAGTCACAAAACCCTCTTAATTGATTCACAAATTGATGTATTTGGATACCAGTATTTATCTTGAAAGTTAATTCCCCCTCACACACTCTTTTGCAAGTTTTAATTTCCATATCCATTCTTTAGTTGTAAGATTATGTATA